GCGGTGGCTGTTACTGGCTATTTAAAGGATTAGTTCACTTTTTAAAAAACTTTTGCTGATAATTTACTCACCCCCATGTCATCCAAGATGTCCATGTCTTTCTTTCTTCAGTCGAAAAGAAATTAATGTTTTTGATGAAAACATTCCAGGATTTTTCTCCATATAATGGACTTCAATGGTAGCCAAACGGTTCAAGGTCTAAATGACCGTTTCAGTTCAGCTTCAAAGGGCTTTAAATGATACCAGACGATGAATAAGGGTCTTATCTAGAGAAACGATCTGTCAATTCAAAAATAAATAAAAAAGTTAAAGTTTTATAGGCACAAATGCTCGCCTTGCGAACTCTCCTGTTCGAACTCGTTCATCAAAATGAACGAATCTTTTTTCGAGTCATTGACGCGTTCATCAAAATGAACGAATCTTTTTTCCAGTCATTGACTCGAAAAAAGATTTCGTTCATTTTGATGAACGAGTTCGAACAGGAGAGTTCGCAAGGCGAGCATTTGTGCCTATAAAACTTTAACTTTTTTATTCATTTTTGAAATGACCGATCGTTTCGCTAGATAAGACCCTTATTCACCGTTTAAAGCCCTTTGAAGCTGCACTGAAACGGTCATTTAGACCTTGAACCGTTTGGTGCCCAGCAAAGTGCATTATATGGAGAAAAATCCTGGAATGTTTTCATCAAAAACATTAATTTCTTTTCGACTGAAGAAAGAAAGACATGGACATCTTGGATGACATGGGGGTGAGTAAATTATCAGCAAAAGTTTTTTTAAAAGTGAACTAATCCTTTAAATCTAGCGGGTTTGATGTCTCGCAAATACAATGACGCTGGTAGTGACGATTCTGTCTGACCAATCAGTGATCTGCAGTGTTTCACGTCACATTTTAGTATCGGTACGGTACGCTTGGAACCTCAACAGAGGTGGTACCATTTAAAGCGAGCCGAAGCGAGCCGTACCGCACCGTACCATGCAGTGGAAAAGCACCACAAGGTAGTGGAAGCATCATGCTTTGGCGGTTTTTTTTTTTTTTTTTTTTAGTAGAGGAAACTGAAAAGGCTGTTGTTATCATGGCAACTTGGACACTGGCAAATCTGTATAGAAAACTAGATTCATTCTGCCAGAGATCTTAATTTTGGGTGGAGATTCATTTTCCAGCTGCGCAATGACCCAGATCACACAGCAAAGGCTATGAAAAAATGGATCGCAAAAAGTTAGTATTATGATCCAAGACCCATTTCTAATTGAGAATCAGTAGTATGATCTGAAAATTGTAGTCCACACATATTCAGCATCTACTTTGGAGTTGGAACAAATTTGCATTTAGGATTAGGCAAAACTTTAAATTTGCAAAACTCAAACCCAAGAAAATTCTAGGCTGTAATTGCTGCTAAAGGACAATGAACAAAATTAATAACTGCTAAAGTCTTACATTTATTTAATTAGAAGTCTTATTTCAAGTCTTATTCATTTATAAGCCTTTAATTTATAATTAATTCTTTATTTTTTTATCTGTAATTTATCATTTTTTATCACACACACACGCACGCCACTTTTTAGGTACACCTTGCTAGTACAGAGATGTAGCACCTTTTGCCTTCAGAACTGCCTTAATTCTTCGTGGTATAGATTCAACAAAGTGCTGAAAACATTCCTCAGAGATTTTGGTCCTTATTGACATAAGGATCACGCAATTGCTGCAGATTTGTTGGCTTCACATCCATGATGCAAATTTCCTGCTTCACTACATCCCACAGGTATTCTATAGAACTGAGATCTGGTGACTGTAGAGGCCATTTGAGTATAGTGAACTCATTGTCATGTTCAAGAAACCGGTTTGAGATGTTTTGAGCTTTGTAACATGGCACGTTAACCTGCTGGAAGTAGCATCAGAAGATGCTACACTGTGGTCATAAAGGGATGAATATGTTCAGCAACAATTCTCAGGATGATGCTCAATTGGTACTAAGAGGCCCAAAGTGTGCCAAGAAAATATCCCTCACACCATTACACCAGCACCAGCAGCCTGAACTGTTGATACAAGGCAGGATGGATCCATGCTTTCATGTTGTTTACACCAAATTCTGACCTTACCATCTGAATGTCTCAGTAGAAATCAAGACTCATCACACCAGGCAACGTTTTAACAATCTTCTATTGTCCAATTTTGGTGAGCTCTTGCGAATTATACTGTAGCTTGTTTCCTGTTCTTAGCAGACACGAATGTCACCCAGCGTGTCTTCTTGCTGCTTTAGCCTATTGTGCGTTCAGAGATGCTCTTCTGCAGACAAACATGGCATTTTCAGCCACTGAACTGCCACTCACTGGATATTTACTCTTTTTCTGACCATTATCTTTAAACCTTAGAGATGGTTGTGTGTGAAAATCCCAGTAGATCACCAGTTTCTGAAATACTCAGACCAGCCTGTCTGACACCAACAACCATGCCACGTTCAAAGTCACTTAAATCACCTTTCTTCCCCATTCTGATGCTCGGTTTAAACTTCAGCAGATTATCTTGACCATGTCTACATGCCTAAATGCACTGAGTTACTGCCATGTGATTGGCTGATTAGATATTTGCATTAAAAAGCTGTTGAACAGGTGTACCTTATAAAGTGAGTGTGTAGATTCATAAATGATTTGTGTTATTAGAGATTTAGCAGAAAAAAAAGATGAAAGGAGGGTGGATACTTTCTGAAGGTGCTGAATGTCTTTTATTTCAGGAAGCACAGCTTATATAATGCCATGAGTTAATCCTTTAGGTATCATGTTTCTATCTTTTTTTTATTTATAAAAAGAGTGACAGATTTGACTACACACCCAGTCTACCCACCCATGTCCACTGTGTTATGTAACCATAATAGATTTGGCAACACTAAGTTGCTAAAAGAGAGCAAAGTTTGTACAACACCTCTGAAAGAGGTTTTAGGTTCACAGGTTTTTTTTATTACCTGGGATACTTTTTTCAGGATTCTTTGATGAATAAAAAGTAAAAAAAGAAAAGAAAAAAGACAACAATATACACCATTCAAAAGTTTGGGCAAAGTATTTTATCTTTTTTTGAAAGAAATTAAAACTTTTATTTAGCAAGGATATGTTAAATTGATATATGTTATATATCAATATTATACATATGATGATTTCTGAAAGATAATGTGACACTGAAGACTGGAGTAATGGCTGATGAAAATTCAGCTTTGATCAGGGATAAATTACATTTTAAAGTATAGTAAAATATAAAACCATTATTTTATAAAAAACCTTTCACAATATGACTTATTTTTCTGTATTTTTGATAAAATAAATGCAGGCTTAATGAGCACAAGAGACTTCTTTCAAAAACATAACATTAACAAAAACATTAAAAATGGTAGTTTAGAAACTTTTGCTCATGCGTGCACGCCGCACACACACACACACCCGTGTGATCATGATCATTGTATATAAGAGGGTATATAAGGTTATGTTTATTACACCAAATAAACATCACCCAATTATGTGTGGCCTTTGTCCGATCGTTTTGACGGGCATGCCATGTAAGGCCATGTTCACATCCTTGTAAAATAAGCTTGCTTATATGTAGTCTAGGACATGTGATTGAGATTAGAGTAGATTTAGGACAGCGCTGATACACAAGGGCCAGGGCACAGACGTTGACCAGGTGACTCTCACTAGGGTGCTTTGGACACTACATACATACTATAGGTATAATATCTTCCTTCACGTTGAGTTTGAATCAGACAACACAGTATTTATTCGTCTGATAAGTCCTTAATAAGATTAACGTAATGTTAAGGTGTTGTGAGTGGTTGCCAAAGCGTTGCTATGGAGTCCTGAATACGTTAATATGTGAATGCTAGAGTGTTCTTGTTGGTTTCAAGGTGATAGTTTTTTAAAGAAGCCAGTCCTTAAGTCTGTATGACATTCTTGTGTTCATGTTATATTGCAGACCACTTTTGCAGCTATTGAGGTAGGATATGGATAAAGGCCAGGGATACATTTCTTATGTTTAGTTTCAAGTGTGGGTTAAGGGGTATGGGTAAGGTCAACAGTGTAATTACTGAAGTAACTACAGAAATGAATTACAGCTATAATTACATGCCGGTATTAAATATAAGTACAATGTACATGAATGTACACAATAAGTGCAATTCTATTAAATTATTAATTTGAATGTTAATACATAGTTAAAGACACTTATAAAGTGGGTCCAGTAACAAATAATGATGGTGAATGATATGGTAATCATTCAATGCTACGTTATATTTGAAAGAACTATGATACGGTACCATCACACCACTTCCAAAAAGGTGCTCTTAGTTCATTTGATTTCCCAATCGATTTGCGTGTCAACATTTATGACCATGACTGACTTAGATTATCAGACAAGCTTAAATAAATCGTAATAAGGAGTAACAAATAAAGCAATAAGGAAACTGTGTTCTCTGTTAATGCTTAATTTTGGACCCACAATTTCCCTTTCGTTTGCATTATGTGCATAGTCAAAAAAATGCCTCCATTTGTTTCCATAGGTCCATGGTGTAGATAAATACATCAGGTGCACAGGCCTGGTAAAGTTTTGCTAAACAAATATTTGTTTTGGTCAGGACAGGACCTGCCATAGAGCCATATACAAGTTTGGACACACCTCACCTAATTTTAGGTTTCATTATTGCATTTCAGAATCATTTTAAAGCCTACAAAACTACAAAATAACACAAATTGGATAATTATGTAGTGACCAAAAACTGTTACACAAATCAAACCTGCCCTATATTTTACCTTATTCAAAGTCGTCACACTTTGTCTTAGTATCTTATTCTTAGTCCTACTTAGTATCGAAATAGTTCACAGATATGCTGGACATTTCCTTCAGTATCCATTCAAACTCTTGGAACTCGTGGAAATCTTCACAGCATTATTTGAAGTTTTGCATTTGCAGATTGCGTGCAGGTCTGAAACCTAACAAACTGTCCTCTGTCTCCACCACAGTTAAAAATATCCTTCAACGAGTCCAGCCTACAGAGCACATTTGAATACCCGTCCGAGACCAGCGCGTGGGAGAGCGGAGAGGAAGAGGACGAAGGAGAGGAAAAAAGAGGAGAAGATGACGGAGGGATCATTGCAGGGAGGATAAGCATTCCTCGTGCCAGCTACACCAGCTCACCCACTCACTCCAACAACACCACGGGTTAGTAAGATGAGAAGAATGACAGGAAAGGGATAGAATGAGAGGAAGGCACAGAAACCATGGATGAGGTGAACAGGAAATGGATTCGGTTCACATCCTATTTTTATCCAAACGTTTTGTCCTATATATCTTTTGGGATGCAACTCTTGGAATGATAAATAGGATGCATTGCAAATTGGGACCTGTTTCTTGTGGTCTTACAGGAAGTGGGGGCAGTTTGATGAATCCATAGTAGATATAAAATAATGATTCATGTTCAGTATTGTAGAGATGCTTGTTGAAATGAATGAGGTGAGGATGATTTGTTGGGCTGATCTCTCAGTGTTACAATAAAGCTCTATGGCTCTACATTTGAACAGTGTGGACACCTGCTGGTCAGTAATGAGGTGTTACATTTATTGCATTTGGGTAGTTGACAAGCACATTTTGCAGAAACAAATAAGAACAAATTTTAACATTTAAGAAGTCAACATACTGTATATGTAAAGGTACAAGGAAAGGTGTATATAAAAATGTTATAATATAAAAATGTACATAATTGCAATTATATGTCTAAAATATTTTTAGATGAAGTATAGTTTCTGTGATGATTCTTCAGTCTGTTTTGACATTGATTAATATCGTTCTTCTCGTGTCCTCAGATCTGTCCAGTTACACACCCAAACACTCAGTGGAGTTTAATGCCTGGCAGGAACACAAGCTCGATGAGTCGGCTCACCGGGAGGAAGACACTTCACAGAGTACAGAGGGGGTCATGGTAAAACAAAACAAAACAAAAAAAAGAATATATACAGTGTAAAATGAATAGAAAATGTGACTGGTCCCTGTTCATGTAAAACGAGGTGTACAGTGTTTTCTATTTGGCATTGCTTGCTAGTTGCTTGGGCGTTCTGGGTGGTTTATCACGGGCCCAAGTGAAAATAGCCCTCCCTCAATTTTCTGTGGCCTCTATGGTAATGACAACTGCATTAAAATGCACAAGTGACTCTCATAAATTATTGTTCTGTGTGTCCATGGAATACAGCAGTGTCTCTTGTTCACAATAGGTTACAGAGATAACCATAGAAACATTTAAGCACAACTGCAAACAAGAAACACTACCATTCAACAGCTTGGGGTCAGATTTTAAAAAAAGAAGAAGAAATTAATACTTTTATTCAGCAATGATGCTTTACATTCATCAAAAGTGAGAGTAAAGACATTTATAATGTTACAATTGATTTCTGTTTCACATAAATGCTGTTATTTTTTAACTTTCTGTTAATCAAGGAATCTTGAAAAAAGCATCAGGTTTCCATGAAAATAAGCATATTAAGCAAATATGTTTAATATGAAACTTAAAAAAACAAACAAAAAAACAGAATGATTCCTGAAGGATCATGTGACACTGAAGACTAATGACTACTGAAAATTCAGGAATCAATCCCATTTTTAAATATATTAAAATAGAAAACAGGTACGTATTTTAAATTGTAATAATATTGCCAATATATTTATATAAATAATATATTCCTTTTTTTGCAGATTTTTTTTTAATTGTGTATATATATAATTATATATATGTATACTGTGGAATTAAACATGATATATGTTAAGAATTATTGCCGATAACCAATAAAGTACAGTATTAAAACTCTTTACTGTTTATTAAATAAATAAATACACAAGAAAAACTTTAAAAACGTGAATTTATAGTATGAATTGTGAGATCGATACCAATATTTTTAGAGTTTATGGGATAGTCAAGTCAAGTCACCTTTATTTATATAGCGCTTTTTACAATACAGATTGTATCAAAGCGCTTCACAGTGATAACATGAAAACAATATAACAAAGTTTGTTTCTAAAAGAAAATTGCGTCAACGTCCACCTTAAGAAAGGCAGATCAATAATATTATTGAATATTAAATGTCCCCAACTCAGCAAGCCAAAAGCCAAGGCAACAGTGGCAAGGAACCAAAACTCCATCAGGTGACAGAGTGGAGAAAAAAAAAAACAAGAAAAAAAACCTTGGGAGAAACCAGACTCAGTCGGGGGCCAGTTCTCCTCTGGCCAACGAAGGAACAGTGCATGATTCGGGCAGCATTACAAGTCAGATTGGATCGGAACATTTAGAGTATTTATCCATTTCCATCTTTTGGAAGTCCAAGTAATCACGCCGGTATTAAGACGAGTTGTTGAGGATCAGTGCCGTCCACCATAGAGAGTCCATATCGCCCGTGTTGAGTCGTCACTTCACAGGCTTTGTGATTGGGGCATCTGAAGTCTCCGTGAGAGGCTGGATACAAACTGGAGCTGACGAACGCCATTTTCTCAGGACTCGCGTCCCGAGATAACAGCAGAAAAGCAAAAAGGGAAAATAATTAGCGTAGCTGCTGTTCATAATGATGATTTCCATAACACAGGCGTGAATGATAAAACATGAAGACAGTGACTCTTGCGTCCCAAAATCACCCCCCTCCGTCCCCCACTCAACTCAGCCTTGCTTACTGACCTCTACGTCCCTCCTGCTGCTGAGACCTAACCACAATCTCTCCGCAACCCAACCATACGCGCCAACCCGTTTGACTAAGGCTGTCAAGCCCCACTGGTGCGTTAATGCAGTTTCAGTGGCAACGGTTCCGTATGGCATACCACCTACCGCAAAACACAATATCTGCCCAACCACCCGTCATTCACGCAATATACACAGGAACAAAATGACTGTAAATACTATGCAACCTATACAAATAACCTACAGTCTCTTCAAGTTTTATAGTATTAAATGCATTTGATCTGATTCAACAGTGGTATAAAAGGTAAGCATTATGTAAATGCTTGGCTAAAGAGATGCGTCTTTAATCTAGTTTTAAACTGGGACAGCGAGTCAGAGCCTCGAACAATATCAGGAAGGCTATTCCAGAGTTTTGGAGCTAAATGTGAGAACGCCCTCCCTCCTTTAGTGGACTTAGATATCCTAGGAATGACCAGAAGCCTCGAATTTAGTGATCTTAAAGAACGCGATGGATTGTAGGGCGATAGAAGGTCTATTAAATACACAGGAGCTAAACCATTTAGGGCTTTATAGGTCAGTAATAGTACTTTGTAATTGATACGGAACTTGATAGGTAACCAGTGTAGAGATGATAAAATTGGTGTTATATGATCATATTTTCTTGACCTAGTAAGAACTCTAGCGGCTGCATTTTGCACTAACTGTAGCTTGTTTATTGAGGATGCAGGACAACCAGCTAATAAAGCATTACAGTAATCTAGTCTCGAGGTCATGAATGCATGAACTAACTTTTCTGCATCAGAAACAGATAGCATGTTACGTAATTTAGCAATGTTTCTAAGGTGGAAAAAGGCTGTTCTTGTAACATATGAAATATGATTTTCGAAAGACAAGTTGCGGTCTAGTATAACATTTACATTTACATTTACATTTAGTCATTTAGCAGACGCTTTTATCCAAAGCGACTTACAACTGAGGACTAAACCAAGCGAGTCATCGTGAAGAGGCAAAAGCAACGCAAGAAGTGCTCAAAATACAAAGTTCAGACATAGCTCGGAGTAGCATAAGCCAGGCAAGCGAGGATTTAGAGGAAAGGATTTTTTTTTTTTTTTTTTTTTTTTTTTTATGTTAAATGCTCCCGGAAGAGATGAGTTTTCAGATGTCTTTTGAATGCTGTCAGGGATTCTGCATTCCGGATGAGGGTGGGGAGATCATTCCACCAGCATGGAACCGTGAATGAGAATGTTCTGGAGAGTGATTTTGTGCCCCGCTGTGATGGTACCACGAGCCGTCGCTCATTGACCGATCGTAGGCTTCTGGTAGGGATGTAGACTTGTAGTAGTGAGTGGAAGTAGGAGGGAGCTGAACCTGTGGTCAATCTGTAAGCAAGCGTCAAAGTCTTGAACTTGATGCGAGCAGCGAGTGGTAGCCAGTGCAGAGAGATGAATAGAGGAGTGACGTGGGCCCTTTTGGGCTCGTTGAAGACAAGACGAGCTGCAGCATTCTGGATCATTTGTAGAGGTTTAGTTGCACATGATGGAAGTCCAGCCAGAAGAGCATTGCAGTAATCAAGCCTAGAAATGACCAGAGCCTGGACGAGAAGTTGTGTTGCATGCTCAGTTAGGAAAGGCCTGATCTTCCTGATGTTGTGCATGGCAAACCTGCATGATCGAGCTGTCTTTGTAATGTGGTCTGTGAAGGTCAGCTGATCATCAAAGATTACTCCAAGATTTCTGACCGACCTTGATGGGGTGATTGAGGAAGAATCTAGCTGGATAGTGAGGTCGTGCTGTAGAGACGGATTGGCAGGGAGGACGAGAAGCTCAGTCTTTGCCAGGTTGAGCTGCAGGTGATGTTCCCTCATCCATGCCGAGATGTCCGCCAGACAGCTTGAGATCCGTACAGCTACTGTGGGATCATCTGGTTGAAATGAGAGGTAGAGCTGGGTGTCATCAGCATAGCAATGGTAAGAGAAACCATGTGCCTGTATGATGGGTCCCAGTGATGTGGTGTAAATGGAGAAGAGGAGCGGTCCGAGAACTGAACCCTGAGGAACCCCTGTGGTCAGTTGATGTGCTTTGGATACCTCACCTCTCCATGTGACCTTGAAGGACCTACCTGTGAGATAGGACTCAAACCAGTTGAGGGAGGTTCCAGTGATGCCCAGTGATGAGAGGGCGGACAAGAGGATCTGATGATTCACAGTGTCGAAGGCAGCAGACAGGTCCAGTAGAATGAGAACTGATGATTTGGAAGCAGCTTTTGCGATCCGTAGGGCTTCCGTGACTGACAGCAATGCAGTCTCAGTTGAATGTCCTTTCTTGAAGCCAGATTGGTTGACATCCAGCTGGTTGTTCAGAGACAGGAAGGATGATACTTGGTTAAAAGCCACTCGTTCAAGTGTTTTCGCAATGAATGGTAGGAGAGAGACAGGTCTGTAGTTCTCTAGAAGTGATGTGTTTAATGTTGATTTTTTAAGCAGAGGAGTTACCCGAGCCTGCTTAAATGCTGTAGGGAAAATGCCAGTGTGGAGGGATGAGTTGATAATGTGTGTGAGAGCTGGTAGAAGTGTGGGAGAGATGGCTTGTAGAAGGTGTGAGGGGATGGGGTCTAGAGGGCAGGTGGTAGGATGACTGGAGAGGAGAAGTTTAGATACTTCTTCCTCGGTTAGTGGAGTGAAGGAGGAGAGAAGGTTATTGGCTGTGGGAGAGGTTAGTCTGGGTTCCTGTGCTGAGAACTGACTGCTGATAGTTGTAGTTTTGTTAGTGAAGAAGTTAGCAAAATCATCAGCAGTTAAAGAGGAGGTGGGTGGTGGTGGAGGTGGACAGAGGAGAGAATTGAATGTCTTGAACAGTGAACGTGTGTTAGAGGCGCTGTTGATCTTGTTGTGGAAATATGAAGATTTTGCGGCGTGAACATCAACAGAGAAGGCAGAGAGCAGAGATTGATACCTACTGAGGTCAGATGTGTCTTTTGAATTGCGCCATTTCCTCTCCGCTGCCCTGAGTTCGGTCTGGTGTTCACGAAGAACCTCAGATAACCAGGGGTTAGAGGGAGTAGCGCGTGCTGGCCTAGAGGAGAGAGGGCAGATATTGTCTAAAGAAGAGGTTAGGATGGAGCATAAAGTATCCGTTGCAGTATTCACATCCAGAGATGAGAAATGTGAGGGTGAGGGAAGAGAAGATGACACAGCAGAGGAAAGATGGGATGGAGAAAGTGAGCGCAGGTTTCGTCTGAAAGTAAATGGTGGGGATGTTGGTGGAGCATGGGTAGTGAGTTGTAGATTGAAAGTAATGAGGAAATGATCTGAAACTTGGAGAGGTTTCACCAAAATGTTGTCTGTGATACAGTTGCGTGTGTAAACCAGGTCCAGTTGGTTGCCTGACTTGTGAGTACCGGTGGTGATGAGCCGTTTGAGATCGAAAGAGGCTAGGAGAGAGATGAAGTCTGTTGCATACGGCTTCGATAGGTGAATGTTGAAATCGCCAAAGACTACAAGTGGGATGCCATCCTGAGGGAAAGAGGACAGCAACACATCCAGCTCTTCTACAAAGCTTCCCAGTTGACCTGGGGGGCGATAAATAACTACAATATGGATCTTCATGGGAGTTGTAAGTGTAATAGCATGATATTCAAATGAGTTGTTATTGCATAGAGAAGAGAGAGGTGAATATTTCCAATTGTTAGAAATGAGAAGACCAGTGCCCCCACCCCTCCCCGACTGGCGAGGTGTGTGAGAGAAAGAGAAGTTGTTAGAGAGAGCAGCAGGGGTTGCTGAGTCTTCTGGACGGATCCAGGTCTCAGTCAAGCCCAAGATATTAAGAGTAAAATGAGATGCAAAGGCTGGAATGAAGTCAGCTTTATTGACTGCTGATTGACAATTCCATAGACCCATAGAAAGAGTGAGAGGTGAGTGTGAGGATGAGAGAAAAGGGCGCAGATAAGCAGTATTGCGCTGCCTTCTGTGCGTGGTGAGAGAGCGTTGTCGAGAGACAACAGGAATGTATTGAAAGCACATGATGATTAAGGGAAATAAGAAAAAGGGAAAGGAAAAGGTGAAGAAGATACTTTAAGTGCCTTGCAGGTGTCCTTGCTCGGTGGAGTCGCGCAGGTAGAGTCGCAGGTCTTTACCCGAGTCGGTCTTCACACGAGGAGGCTGAACACGAGAGCTGAATGCTTCCGCTGACGCTTCCGCGACAGCGCGCACACTACATAGAAATAATGCTATCAATCGTCTGAGTGAGGACAGCTGTGGTAGCCCTTGCAATTAGCACAGCGAAAGCAAATATCCCGACAATGGCCCAAATCGAAACTAGCTGTTATGAACAGCAATACTTAAGTGCTACAATAACAAACAGACTCCAACCTGTTACGGTATAACTCCCAGGTCTTTTACCGTAGAGGATAAAGTAACAGGACATCCTTCTATATTAAAGTTGTATTGTAAGTGGTTTTGTGGGTAGTTTTTTGGACCAACAAGTAATACCTCCGTTTTATCTGGATTTAGTAGCAGGAAATTACGCGTCATCCAGCATTTTATATCTTTAAGACACTCTGTCAATTTTGATGAGTTAGTGTTTTCATCTGGCCGTGATGAAATATATAATTGAGTGTCATCAGCACAACAGTGGATAGTCAGTTATTTAACTAATTCTTTGACTAATATTAGTGATCAGAGATGTATTACCATTGTATCAGCTTTGGATCACTTGTAAACCGGGTAGCATTTCTCTTTTCAACAAACCACATGTTTTTTTTTTGTTTTTTTTTACTGTATGTTCATAGCACAAACAGTTGTTCAAGACAAGTTACACACCAAAGTTTAATACTTCGTTTTAGGAGTAGAACAAACCCCTGAGCAACAGTTAAGACTTTTATTTAGCAGTGATGCATTACATTCATCAAAAGTAACAGTAAAGACATTTATAATGTTACTATAGATTTCTGTTTCACACAAATGCTGTTCTTTGAAATTATTCATCAAAGAATCCCGAAATATGTTAAAATGAAACACACCCCCGAGTGACAGTAAAAGTGTAAATTGACCTGCACAGAACCAAATTCTGAACAAAAGTTCATTTAGTCAACAACCATAATCAAATCATTGTCAAAGCAAATATTTTCACCTATAATTCATAAGACAACCATGGAATTAAACCTATTGATTAACTTTGTCTTTGTTGTTGTTCACCAGCTGACACCTGCCGATAGCTCCTCTCTGTCAGACTTCAGCAGTGAACCAGCCCTCTACTTCTAAACCTTCCAGACGTCGGGAAGATACGGGACCAACCAATGCCTGCCAGCACCAGCCTGGATGCAAAGAAAAAACTTCCAGAACAATGGAGACCTGTAGCAACCAACACGTAAACATACATTTCGTATTCCGTGGCCGTACGCCATCAGCGTCAACAGCAGGGTTTTCCTCACCGCTGATCCACGTAGCGGATGTGTCACACACATCTGACCTCCTGTTGCCACCGATTGTGAGCGTGATGGACTGTGTTAACGTGGAAAATGGCTTGAATAGCCATTCCGCTCTTGAATTTCACTCTTCCATCACGTACTTGCTCTACGTATGTAATACTCACCTCATGAAAGTGACCAAATTTCTAAAAGAGTGAAAGATGAAAGACTTGTCCTTTAAACAGAGAAGGAAACTTGAGGACTCCAGAAAGAGGACAATAAGAGGGTGAAGCAACAAAAAAAATGAAATAAGTGACTTGTTTATGTATGACTGGTGAAAGGGTGCCACAATCCTTGTTCTATGTGATGTTTTTGTATGTGCATGTGTAGGTCTGTATGACTCCCAAACTATAGAATTCGTCCACTTTAGTTTCATGTTTCCTTTTGTATGTCTGTGTTTCAAGGTAGACATTTCTAATGCACAGACCGATATACTATACAGATGAAATACTAACAACATGTTAGTGTTGACTTAGTGAATCTAGATCTGTTGTTTTTTTTAAGAGCTGCTCTTAATTGCTGAATAGAGTGAGCTGGTTAAGCAAATTCATTCTGTTTTGCTTTTTCATGGTAAAAGAATTGATTGATTACACAAATATACATAAAAATACTTGGTCATGATTTGGATCACAAATGCAATTTTAAATTCAAGTCAATCCTGTCAAGACATGCCCAGGTTACATTTGACCCCGAAAAAAATTTTTTTTACATTTTTTTTTTAAAATGATGCCTGTTTTTAGGCCCATCATTCTGACATTATTTCCATGACATTTAAGCTTGTTTTCCTCCGAAATTCTTATTACCGTAATACGTGTGAGTTGTTTTCCCCATTATTCATAATCTGGTAGTCTTACTGCATTACAGTAAAAAAAAAAACACTCCTATATATAATAGATTTTTTTTTATTGCATTATTAAATGTTCACGTTACGGTAATGACAAATTCGGTGGGACTGGATGTACCTAATTATTTGCCTCCTAATAATCCTTAAAATACTGTTTGAGCAAAATATAATGTATCTATTTTTGGGATGAAATATGACCTGGAAATGTTCTTGGCAGGTTTTGTGAGATTTACGATCTGAGATTGTTTTATTATGCCATTTTAAGCACAGTGTTACTAACTGATGCATCAGTTTGATCAATAATCATGCTGAAGTTTATATCCTTATGTGTTCTGAACTGGACATTCTTGCAGTACAAATGGGAGCGGTCAGTTTTAGTCATGAAGGTAGGAAACATTATTTTGTGGATTTTTGATTGGACATGCTGTAAGCATGTGTGTGTGAGAAACATGAAGACTAAATACACACAATGCCAACTGACTTGAGTGTGTCATGTCTGTTAAATGGCTTCGGTGTATCAGCTCACTTGTCTCCTCAGCCTTTCCGACCAGTATTGATGTATAGTTTGTACACTCCAGGATAAAGTTTTCATAATTTATTTGATCTCTTTTACCACTTTTTCATATTTTTAGTCAAAGGGGCAAACAGTAGCACTGAGGTGTTTCAGGATAATTCTTTTGATAATTTGACATCATGTACAAAATTACATGAGTGTTGATAAGACAGCTTACATGTACATCTTAGTCCTATGCTTTTGTATTCATTCATTTGCACTGTCTTTGTTTTTGCTTTATTTTGCACCTGATGCAGTTAAGTTTTGAGAGTTGGTTGGAATAATGCCTTTAAGGAATCTAAAATTACTTTCATATTATAATTTATTTAATAAAAATTATATTCTGTGTTCACTGGGAGCATAACATTAAATACAAACTAAACATATACTACCTTTCAAACGTTCTGCGGTCAATACGATTTTTGAAAGAATTGAAAACTTGTATTCAGCAAAGATGCATTAAATTGATCAGAAGTGACAGTAAAGACTTCTACATTGTTAAAAAAAATTATTTAAAATAAATGCTGCTCTTTTGATCTTTCTATTCATCAAAGAATCCTGAAAAAAAGTATCACGGTTTCCACAAAAATATTTAGCAGCACAACTGTTTTAACATTGAAAAGTAGACATGTTACTTGAGCACCAAATCAGCATATTAGAATGATTTCTGAAAGATCACTTGACACTGAGGACTGTAATGGCTGCTGAAAATGTAGCTTTGCCATTACAGGAATAAATTACATTTTAAAATATATTAAAACAGAAAATAATTATTTTAAGTTGCAATAATATATATAATATCAGTTTTAATTAAATAAATGCAGCCTTGGTAAGCATGCGACTTTCAAAACATAAAAAAATATCTTATTGACCTCAGACTTTTGAATGGTAGTGTATTAAAAAAAAAAATATCTGATTTTTGCTGCCTGTCTGAACAAAAATTTGAACCCATGATTCTTTTATATATTATAATTAAAGGCAATTTTTATTTAAGAAAAAACTTAAATAAAACTATTAAGAAATAAAACTATTTCACCAAGTGTTAGAATTCAACCAAATCTTACATTCTAGTTCTGCAGTATGTCACTTTAGCACTCGCTTACCATCCCAGTCTATAGACAGTAGATCCTCCAGATGTTCTTAGCAAACATAAAATATTCTTGAGGGATGCATATTAGACAGTTAGAGGGTTGGGAACTATTGCTTTTGTGTCTTACAAAATGTAATGCAACTTTAAGTGTTTCATTAGTTACTGTAACTCCAATCAAGCTGCTCATTGCTCTGGTGGTTAATGTACTTTTTGTCAAATGTACTAGTTTGTCAAAACTTTTTCTCATTCTTTCTGTTTTCTGCATCAAGAGAATATTAAATGTACAATTTGGTTTTGATGAACTCGGAGGGGAAAACACAAGGAAATATTCAATAAACAGATGAAGGTTGCGGAGTTTTCCCACTTTGTCTTGAGATATTATTTATTTACATACAGAAATTCCCTTTATAGCCTTTATAGCTTATAGTTATTGATAAATAACATCAAACAGATAACTTGTTCATTTGATTTATTAAAACATTAAATTTAAATAAAAGCATTACATTAAACACTACTCGTATATCAAAACATTATTACAAATCTATACACTTTACATACACAGCTTCCTGATAAGAATGAGAAGTTACACAGAGAGAGGAGATGAATGGAATATAGACAAATGAAAGGACTGAGTGAATGGGAAAATTCAGTATTTATCAATGATCTTTGCTGCTTCTTGGTTCAGTGGCTTTGGTCAGATTCCCAGTTTCCTTCTTCAAAACGCTTAACAGTGTCTGAGAGCTTTCAAGAATCTGAGAAAGACAGACAAGGTATTTGTTGAAACCATAAAACACATTTTCTTTGTGTAACTAACTAACTAACTAACTAACCTCTGCATGTTGCCCTACTTCTTTGGTTGGCTCAGTTGTATCATTCAGATTAATTAGTCTGAAATGTGGTGGCTGTCCACACATAAGCATCATTATTTAAAAAAGAAAAGAAAAAAAAGTACTGCTAAAAAAACAGGGTTTCTGAAAGATTTTTAAAAAACCTTTTTAAGATTAAGTAAAGAAAATTGAAGCAAATACGTCAATATGTTATCTATATGTAAATGTCTATTGAGAAACCTAATAATTTGTATTAGCAACACGTTTGACAATACAATTTCCAACATATGTCCATTCATTTTTAATTCATTTTAGAAAGAAAACTAGCTGGAATACCTCTACTCTCCACCACAAGATTATGGACATAACTTTTACTGTATCTTCATAACTCATTGACAGATATGTGTTCTTGTTTTAAGCTTAAACTTAATTCAAATTCTCTTCAAACTCAAATTTAAAGACTTGCATTTGCATCTAATGTAAATGTATCAAAGATGTTTAAATATTTGTATTGGAAAACAGGGAAAAATACTTAGGAAGATATTTTTTTTTGCAATGCATGCAACATATAATGCCATAACATAATCTGATTTAAGACCCTTATAAGGCCTTAATTTGAGTAAGGAGAATTAAATATAAGTAAATAGATTTATAAAGAAAATGTATTAGCAATCATTATATATTATGCTCAAAATGTGCTGTTTGGAGCTCAAGAAACATTTCTGTATTATCAATGTTAAAATGACATATTCTTGCATATTGCTTATTTTTATTTTTTTTATTCTCTGATGAATATAAAGTTTGAAATAGATTTTATAACAAATTAAATGTCTTCTGTCACTTTTCATTAATTAAATGCATACATTTATTAATTCCCTTTTAAAAAAGATCTTACTGACCCAAACTTTTGAACCACATATATATATATATATATATATATATATAATTATATTATTTATTTATGATTAAACACCATAGAAGCCATGGCTATATTCATGGCAATCAACAGTATTTCCCTTTTCAAACATAATTATGATTACAACAATATCACTTCAATACATTGTTTACAATAATCTAACAATTTTGTCTTTTGTCTTTAAAAAAAACAATCAATAGGCCTATACGAAGATATACATACGTATATACCAATAACCACAACAGTAATAAATCGCATTTACATCGAATCTTTCAATTTAATGATAGAAATTAAAAAATTACTCCAGGAGAAACCTTTTTAAAAATCTCCATTAATATATTTTCTGAATAAAAAAAAAAGTTTTCTAATATCATTTAAAAATGGGCATTCTATTAAAATATGTTTTACACTCAAGAAATTTTTACACAAATCACAAACCGGTTTCTCTTCCCCTTTCAATCAATATGAATGAGTGAGTCTTGAATGTCCAATTCAACATCTCCTGGTATATAACCTGGTCATATCTATTTACAGAATAGTAGCTCCTTGACTTACTGGATTTACCTCCTATAGTTTGTTATATGCATTTGTTCCATTCCATTCGCCATATATATATATATATATATATCAAAATTACAGTACAAGACTAATTTTATCGGCCATCCTGCTAGATATGTGATATTAACATTAGCACTGCACATTGGAGGAAAAAACACTTATAAGTGGTCGACTAATAAACAAAATATTCATGATGAAAACACAATACAATATTTATAAGCCAACATCTGGCCATTTTGAGACAATATCAGCTAGGCCTAATAATTTTGCCTGGCCAACTAACAACATTTATCTTGTCATCAATTTAAGTAATTCACTTCATTCATTTTATAAATGTTGTGTAAGTTTCATTTAAGATATTGGCACTGGTCGACAAAAAAAAAAAGGAGACAGTGAAGGTCTCACCTGTGCAACATTAATAAAGCTAGTTTTTGTTTTTTCTGGTCACTCTGCATGAAGACAACATGATGTATTAAACAGGTTGATTATGTCCTTACCTTCATGTAAGCAGCCTCCGTCTCTGCAATGGTGCGGTCAAAGTCAGCGCGGGCACTGAGACGGCGTGCCAGGCTCTCGTTCACACGACTCAGCTTCTCTGTCAGCACACGGATGTCATGCTGAAGACGAGTTTTCTCTGCTTCCTCCTGTTGGATCAGCCGATTTAGATCTTCTCTTTTAGAGCACAGCTCCTCTATACCTGAAAAAGAGGAGGAGGATGAAAAGGGCCAGTTCTTTAAAAAGAGGCAGCTCCAGGCACATCTAAAATATGTTTAATCAGTGTTGTGTTTCTTTACATTCATGTTGTGATAACTAAGAGGGGAGTGTGTATAAGTTGCTGATGAGGGCTTGCTCAGCAGTTCTTCCTGCTGATTTGTGCAATAAAGAACAGGATTTTATCAAACACTAATTCAAACAGTCCAGTAAAGTGATATATATATATATATATATATATATACACTCTCTGTGTGTGTGTATATATATATATATAAAACACATTTGTTTTAATTATTCATGTTTTAATTGTGTTTTATAGTTCTTGTACATCACTTTAGTTTCAATATCTGTTGTTTTTAAATGTGCTTTATAAATCAATAAATTAAACTAAACATATATATATATATATATATAAACTATACAGTACTGTGCAAAGTCTTAGGCACGTTAGTATTTTCACCCTCCAAAAGTGGTTTTAAGCCAGTTATTTATATATTTTGCTAAAGTGTGTCAGTAGGAAATATCAGTTTACATTTCTAAAAATTTATTTTGCCATTAATTGTAATAATCCAGTGAGATTGCATGAAGAAACTGAAAGAACTGAGATAGACTAAATCCAGAAGAACTGCAGCAACGTCTCCAAGACGCTTGAAGAAACCATCCTGCAAACTACAGTACTGTGTAAAGTTTTAGGCACTTGTGTAAAAATGCTGTAAAGTGAGGATGCTTTCAAAAACAATGTCATAAATAGATTTTATTTATCAATTAACTTATATTAACTAAATCAAATCAATATTTTGGTGTGATCACTCTTTGCGTTTAAAACAGCTTTTGTCCAGGTACACTTCTTGCTTTTTACGTCTGTTTCTTCAAGCGTCTTGGAGACGTTGCTGCAGATCTTCTGGATTTAGTCTGTCTCAGTTTTTTTCTGTTTCTTCATGTAATCACAGACAAACTCGATGATGGTGAGATCAGATCTCTGTGTGGATCATACCGGCTGTTGTCAGACTGCTTGTGCATACAAAAATCTCACTGGATAATTACAATTAATGGCAAAATTAATGTTTGGAAAGGTAAACTGACACACTATAGCAAAAGATATAAATAACTGGCTTAAAACCATTTTTTTGGGGTGAAAATACTAACGTGTCTAAGACTTTTGCACAGTACTGTATATATAACCAAAAAGTTTAAAACTACAACACAAATCTGAAACGAAAAGTTAATAGGCTAAAAAAAAGAAACCTAAAATGTCCCTCTAAAATGTAAAAAAAATCCCTCTAAAATGTAAAAAATAAATAAAAAATATACTAAACTTTTGAGCAAAATTAAATGAAAAGATCGTGTTGTGGGTGGGTACAGTTGCCCTAAAAAGTATCTGGACAGTAACTACCTCATAAAAATAAAAATAACCCTTTTTCCCCCAAGAGGAACATTTTTGCAAATTGTGTTGTATTCATTTTAAATCACTAAACTACAACAGATAAACAGCTGCTTGTCAAATATTGGTGAATCATGTTCTTAGTTCATGTAATGAAATACACCAGTGGTTACTCTGCTGGACACCTGTGTTAGTTGAAGAGAACTGACTTCATTCCAGTGGTTTAATATTTTGTTATCGAATGCAATGACACTGACATACAGGTGTCCAAATAATTTTTATTAAGGCTACTGAATGTAATTTAATGGATTCTGTTTCTCCAGCTTCAAATGAGATCATATTGATGTCTCTCACAAACCCTCAGATGTCGTCTTGGCTAAAAGCAAACAATTGTTCTATCAGGGAAAGAACAAAGAAAGGCACAATACACTATAGGTGTCACGGTAGTCTTCTAATCACTTCAAAGCTAGTATAATGACTGCAAATGTCAACGGAGACTAGCTGCATTCAAGTTCCTTCTAACTTACTCATCATCACGCGTACAAGTAAAAAAAAAAAAATATATATGAAAAATAAAATGTATGTTCCCCTGACAGCAAAATAGTACATCTGGGTCGATGGTTACTTACATTTGACAAGCTCATTGTTGTAGGTTTGCAGCGCAGCTCCTTGCTGGGTCATTCTGATTAGCAGGTTAGCTCGCAAACTACAAGAAAAGGCCTGCCTGCACTCGTTTTAACACTAAAAGCGTTTCATGCAGTGAAGTCAGTTAGTTAGTTGTACCTTCTGGTGTAAACTGTTTCTGGAATTCGCAAGCCACACACTTTACCGCGCGTTAAAAGCTGCAAACTTGCGAGGGGAGTAACTTTAAAGAAAACATTCCAGAAGCGGCTAAGTCAAGTCTCCCTCCTGTTTCCATGGGAACGCCCAAGAAGCGTCACCACGACAGTTTGCGTGGACTTTTATGTTAGAATTTAGAATAGTTATATTTAAAATAAAATCATTACATTAAACCAAATACTGTCAGAACATTAAAATTACAATGAAATGCAAATACACTGGGCGCCTCCCACATTTATTCAATGTCAAAGTATCTTATTATTATTTTGAACAATATTGCTATTTTAGACAACTTCCGGCATCGACAATGTCGTCATCGACGCGCGACATGAGTTTAAAGAAGAGCGCTACAATTTCGCCGTGTAATTACTATTGACAATCCTTCGAATGGCTTTGATCATATAATTTTGGCACTAAATTTGAGTCTCGTGGTAAAATGACTATGCACGTATGGTAACGGCACCGAACAATATACATTTAACCCAGGATATATGACTATTGTTTACAGTCTGAGTTGGAATGAACGAGGTGCAGACAATGCCACAGGGACTGTCAGCAGCCTGGGACACAGTGACATCTGCACTGGTGAGTGGTAAATATACTGCAGTGTATCAAATACCATTTTGGACATGACCATGTTATAGCATTGTATTGTTGAAGTACATTTGCGTGCCAAAAGCTGTTTTCTAACCATGTCTCTTTAGGTGTCTCCTCTGTCAACCAATGCTTTGACAGATGAGGTTCTCTGTGATGCCTTGGCCCTGCTAGGTGGGCATGGACTGGGTCAGTATGTGGAGGGTTGGCTGCTGGAGACTCTGCAGGTTCGTTTGACTACATCTGTTGCTCCTGAGTTCTGGACGGGGCTCAAGCAGCCAGAGGGAGAGTCTCAGGAGAGGGACAGGGCAAATGCTTTACTTAAAGCCTTCAGAAACCTTCTGCAACAGCTGGAACCTTTCCTCGGTATGTCACAACTATATTTTAGCGAAGCCTATGTGTTTTGGGGGTTAGACGAGTATAGGGTTTGCATATTGTTGCTGACCCATTGACAAAATTTTTTTTATTAGGAAACATCAAACAAGCCTATATAAATTGTTTGTTTGTTGCTGGTTGCAACTTATGAAATCTGTCAGGAATATTACAACCGAAAATCAAGGTTACTTTATTATATTTATAATACTTAATATTATGGTGTCAGAAGTGGAAGAATTTAAAGAAATGTATACTTTTATTCAGCAAGGATGCATTAAATTGATCAAAAGTGACAGTAAAGACATTTATAATGTTACAAAAGCTTTCTATGATAATAATAAATGTTTCTTGAGCAGCAAATCAGCATATTAGAATGATTTCTGAAGATGAAGGATCACGTTACACTAAAGACTGGAGTAATGATGCTGAAAATTCAGTTTTGGCAACACAGAAATAAATTGCATTTTAAAATACAGTACTTTGCAAAAGTCTTAGGCACTTTAGTAGGCAGCTTTTGTCCAGGTACACTTGCACATAGTTTTTCAGGTAGCTTTGCAGGAAGGTTTTTTCAAACGTCTTGGAAATGTTGCTGTGGTTCTTTTGGTCTCCGTTTTTTCAATTTCTACTTGTAATCACAGACAGACTCGATGATGGTGACATCAGATCTCTGTGTGGATCATACCGGCTGTTGTCAGACTGCTTGTGCATACAAAAATCTCACCGGATTATTACAATTAATGGCAAATTAATGTTTGGAAATGTAAACTGATATTTCCTACTGACACACTACAGCAAAAGATATAAATAACTGGTTTAAAACCTTTTTTTGGGGTGAAATACTAACGTGCCTAAGACTTTTGCACAGTACTGTATATTCAAATAGAAAAGAGTTATTTTAAATTGTACAAATATTTCACAATATTACTGTTTTTGATGTATCAAATAAATGCAGCCTTGGTTAGCAGAAGAGACTTCTTTTAAAAACATTAAAAATCTTACCGATCTAAAACTTTTCAACTTATATATATATAGTTTTTTGCATTACAATAATTTTGAGAATTAATGAGTGTAATGTTATTAATTTCCATTGATATAATGCCATAATGTGAAATCTGAATAGTTTTTACTTGTCCAGTGTTTCCTGAGTCTACTGTTTTAATTGTACTCTCCCTTTTTTTTCTTTCAAGGTGGTCTTGAGAGACTGGGCTCATGGCAGGATGAGAGCCGTGGGGGTCTGTGTGGTCCAGGGGCCCGTGGTCTGACTGAGAGAGCCTTCTCTGTCGTTCGTGCCATTCTCCTGTTCTCTCCTCCACCTGTGCTGCAGGAGCGTGTGTTGGAGTTTTATAGCCGCACATTCTCTGTGCACATGAGTCAGGCAGGGGAAGCTGTGGAGGCTGAGGAGGGCTCAGCGGAACATGATGTAGGCGGTTTGTGTCCAGGCTGTGCCTCCCTCCTTCACCTTTGTTGGTGTCAGGAAGCTCTAGAGCAGCTTCAAGAGCTCAGCCACATACTGTGAGTTGAAGAGAAGTACCATTCTGATTCAACTACAGATGCTTACTACATCCTAGTATTTTTTTTAAACACTATATAACATTATTCAGTATTCACTGTAGTATGTTACATAGTTTTTTTTGCATTTGGCACATTACTATGTGGCATCATGTTTAAAGGAATGATCTGGAAATAAATATGATTATTTTGAACCTTCAATTAGGAGTGTGAAAATGATATCTCAATATTTTCTGGTATTTCATTCAACCAATTTGTTTAAATGGCTGATTTAATCAGGACTAAAGCAAGTGACTGTTTTTAAGAATAGGTAATTGAATCTTTGACTTTTTAACTTAAAAAAAAAGCAGAATCATTCAGTAATGAAACACGGTTGTGTGTTGCTTGAAGTCGCACAACGGTTCTGTTGTGGCTTGGTTCTAAACTATTTTTGTTGGTGAAATTGAGCAAAAACCTATGTTATAAACAAAATTCTGTCTAAAATATAACTTTCAATATTAACTTATTTATTGAATTGTTGTATAAATCAATAGCACATTTGCAATCATGCTCAGATTCAGGAAAAACATCACTCTTGCTTGTGTGATATTATGTAACTATATCATATATGATATAAATATAACAACAATTCATACAGGGGCATTCGTATGTTTGTTGATCTCATTGCATTGTTACATTATTCCACACATAAAGAAAATATGCATATTCTGTGATATGTACTTCAAAAGTAGTATGGTTGTCTTTAATTCCAAATATGTGACCCTGGACCACAAAACCAGTCACATGGGTCAATTTTTTTTAAATTGAGATGTATACATAGTCTGAAAGCTGAATAAATAAGCTTTCCATTGATGTGTGGTTTGTTAGGATGTGACAATATTTAGCCGAGATACAACTATTTGAAAATCTGGAATCTGAGGGTGCAAAAAAAATCAAAATATTGAGAAAATCGCCTTTAAAGTTGTCCATTTATGTTTGCGATTGTGCTGCTTTCACTCACAAAAATAAATGTTTTATATATGTACGGTAGGAAATTTACAAAATATCGTCATGGAACATGATCTTTACTTAATATCCTAATGATTTTTGGCATAAAAGAAAAATCGATAATTTTGACCCATACAATGTATTTTTGGCTATTGCCACAAATAGACCTGTGCTACTGTGACTGGTTTTGTGATCCAGGGTCACATATACCAATGTGGCGTTTGTTTCAGACTCAGAGGTAGAGTTCTGGGATATATAACGCCTTAATAAATGTGTTTGGTGATTTCAGGTCCAGACTCCAGCTGTTAGAACGCGTGAGCTCTGAGGCCGTGACCAGCATCCTGCACCAGCTGATAGAGCAGAGGATGGAGCAGCGCTGCAGGGGAGAATACGAGAGCTCTTTTCTCACAGACTTCAATGATGTACACAACTTTCATTCAGTTACACAGCAGAAAATATTTTATTTTATATGATCTACAGAAACGTTAACCATGTTGATACTCAAACTTGTATCGACATTCCTTTAAGAATCCAAAATGTGTCACTTGATGCATGTAGTTTTAAAATGAGGTGCATTAGTTAACAAAACCTTGGCCAACATGACTTCAGTGTGTGCAAATCCTGATGTGTGCTAATTTAAATCATTACTCAAACTATTGAACTTTTAAAGTTATGAAAACAAACATGATAAATTTTCTAGAGAAAATGTTAGTGGTTCTCTCCTGTGCAAAACTCACTGCCACAAAGTCGATCTCTTCAACCACAATGCGGATTATAACCTAAAGTTTAATATTGAGGGTTTGGGAATATTCAATATTCAGCTACATGACCTTAAGTATGAACAGTAGTAGTCATGCAAATACAACAAATTTAACAAATACCACTAATATTAAAAGGCTGTGCTTGTCTAGATTTAATAAGTAAATAATGTTCAGCTTTATTATTCCATCACACAAATTAGAGACTAATTTGTTCAAGACTAATCTATTCAAAATGGTCAATTGGTTAAAAAAAACAATACATCATAAAAATCATAGTCGCACTTTATTTAAAAGTACAGTTGTTGTTAAAAGTTTACATATACCTTGCAGAATCTCTAAAAAGTTAAATATTTTAACATAATAAGAGGGATCATAAATGTTTTCATTTTTTTTATTTAGTAACATCCTGAATGAGATATTTACATAAAAAATATTTACATATAGTCCAGAAGACAAAATAATAGTTTTAAAAAGTTTGACCCCTTTCAAAAGTTTGCGAACTTGACCTGTGTCTTGACCTAGATGATCCATGACTGTTTTTGTTTTCTGATGGCATTAAGAACCAGGGGTTGAAAACTTTTGAACAGGATGAAACATTTATTTTGTTTAAAGATTATATATTTTTTCATTTAGTACTACTCTTCAGAAGCTACAGAAGATACTTGGATGTTTCCCAGAAGACAAAATAGGTATAATACATCCTGATCTTCAAATTTAAAACGTTTTCACCCCCTGGCTCTTAGTGCATCGTGTTTCTTTCTTGAGCATCAGTAAATGTTTTTTACTTTTTTTAATAGTTGTGTTTGAGTCCCTCAATTTTCCTCAGTGGAAAAAGATGGATCTCAAAATCATACAGTCACTGCTGGAAAGGGTTCAA